AACACATCCAGCGCATACGTCAGATTCGCCAACACGAGACAGCCGCACCACGAACACATCCTCACCGAACATCCAGTCCGCACACGACGCGGCGTCACCGCCCACACGCTGGCAGCACACGTCGACAGCACACCGGATATCGCACAGCTCCGTACAGCTACCCCACAACACCGTTAACAGAAAAGCATACTACCGACCACATCGGAGCACGCCTTCAAACCGGCACACCGTCCGCACACAAAAACGGCGAGCACCGCACACGTCCCGTAACTACTCAACGCGCCTACTACGCACACGCGTCTACACCGAAGTACACCCACGCTATCGCTAACTACACGCGCCACCAGACATCATCAGCAAAACAGATATCACACACCAACTGATGCATCTCAGCGATCCAGTGGTCTGCCTATCTATCCACAAGCACGCTACTCACACTACTCTACACCGTCAACAAAACATGTACGCGCATCCGCAACCGCACTACGAACTCATTGAGAACATCACATCCTCAGGCGCGACAAGCTAAACACGTGCATATTCGACATCCACGATTATCGAAAGGGTCTCGCTATCCTGAATGACTTACCGTTGCATGCCCCGACGGGCAAGCCACCCGCCTCTAGCCTCTTCATAACTTAGCCCGTCCGAAACCTAGGCGGTCGAACAGTAAGCAACCACCTGCGGCAGCGGGCATAGCAGCGTCTCTCACACCTCTCGAGCGCGCCGACTGAGAGAAATATACTGCCAGATCTCAATATACTCTGCAATACAAATATAAAGAGGTGTAACTAATCCATGACTCCCAGAGTGAATCGACAGAAACTGACAGACTCGCGTGTTAGCGACACCGCAAAACGAGGCACATTTACAAATTGTTCCCGCATGAGAAGGCGGGCACGCCGACATAACACAGAACGACCTGACACTAGGTCAGATACGAAGAGAAAAGTCGCACGTATTATGTCATCACCATCGGGCTCAACAAGCACCCCAGTCAGCAAACAGTGCAGAAAAGTCACCACAGTAAGGGCAATCAAGACGAGGCATACTTTAAATCTATACGTTAGACGAACATGGCACCCTAATAACCTTGTCGAGAGACACTTATATAACCAACATTCATTGAACTAAATAATTGACGATCAATTCTAGCTTCTAACCAACGCCTTAACAAACTTCAAACTAGCAAAAGTGTTTCCACTGGAGGGAGGAAAGAATCAAACTGCCTAGTATACCGATGCTGACTGATATAGACGTTATCCATATGAACAGTATCTAATTATTCACTATGAGGCCTCACCGAAGTGCAAGCAACGTCCAGAACAGGCAAGTGGTCATCAGTGCTAGGACCATCAACAAATTACGGCCCCGCAAAGGTGTTCACATTCTTTCAATCTGCACACACTATACTCTAGACAGAGGAGACAAAACAAGTATAACCGACAGAAGCAGAGTACGTTCAAAGTGCCAGCACGAGCAGCTTGGCAAAACTTTAGGAGAGCCAAAGTCATCTACTCATCCCACACAGTTTGCAAGCACGCAATATACACAGGTACAACAAACAAGTTTATAATCGGTCGGGTATATGTTTTCTTTGCCCATGGAATTTTATGTATCGGCAACCTAAACTAAAGTTGGCGGGGAGATGGTGGCCGCCAGAAGCTGCCGCCAGACGTGCTCCGGAGCTGCTGTCGAAGTCTCGACTATGTTACAACCGTAGCCATTCGACACATTGTAGTCCACAGAAACGAGTCTTTTCCAGCTAGGTACATCTACACAAAGAAGGGCAAGAGTATACACATACACAGACATCTCAATGCAGGTTAATATAGCGAATATTAATCTAAACATCTAGTCGGAATATAGCACGGAAATGATGAAGCTGACCGATAAGTGCATGTTTATATATAGTTAAATAGTTAAAGCTAAAGATATATTATATATATATGTAATATAAATTTTTTAAATATCCGAGAAGAACTGCAGCCGGTAGAGCGTTCACAAGGAAATCTCTACGGCGGCGGCGGCGGCGCGACGATGCCAAATCCATAGTATCCCCCAAACTGCATGCAGTTCCCACACTCAGGATAATACTCACTCAGTAGAATTGAGCCAGAGCGAGAGCGCCATCTGTCGTGGAGTTTGAGTATCCCCACGAACTTCGTTCGGGGGATACAATTAAGCCAGTTCGTAGCTACAGTCTGCGCATGCGCGAACTTAACCACGAATTCTTCTGTGTCAGGTCATTTGTGACAAAATATTTCGTATTTCGACCGTACAGTAGACATATACGCATATGCATCTGTGTCGTTGCAATGCTACAGTCTTCGCGTGTGCACGTACGCGTGCCTGCGTGCGTGTGCACGTACACGTGCGTGTGTGTGCACATGCAAGTGCGTGCGTGCGTGCGTGTGCACGTACACGTGTGTGCGTGCGGGCGTGCGCACGTACACGCGCGTGCGTGCGTGCGTGCATGTGCACGTACGCGTGCGGGCGTGCGTATGCACGTGTGCGTGCGTGTGCATGTTCACGCGCGTGCGTGCGTGTGCACGTACAGTTGAGTACGTGTGCACGTACAGGTGCTTGCGTGCGTGTGTGTGAACGTATACACATGCGTGCGTGTGCACGTACACGTGCGTGTGTGTGCACGTACAAGTGCGTGCGTGCGTGCGTGCGTGCGTGTGCACGTACACGTGTGTGCGTGCGGGCGTGCGGGCGTGCGCACGTACACGCGCGTGCGTGCGTGCGTGCGTGCATGTGCAGGTACGCGTGCGGGCGTGCGTATGCACGTGTGCGTGCATGTGCACGTACGCGTGCGGGCGTGCGTGTGCACGTACAGTTGCGTACGTGTGCACGTACAGGTGCTTGCGTGCGTGTGTATGAACTTATACACATGCGTGCGTGTACACGGTACATATACCGTATACGTACTGAACCGAGAGCGCACGCCACACTCGAGGCGATGCTAGTTCGATTTTTGTCACAAATGACCCGGTGACCTGCGACGTCACACAACCCATTGGATAACTACGAACTGCTTATAATTATGGAAGCCCTGAAACGATACCAAGGCCGTACGCAGGAAATTTTCTGTAGGGGATATATATCTTAGCTTATATTTAACTATATAAAACATGCATTTCGTAGGCTCTTCATCATTTCCTGTATATATCCACTAGATGTTTCAATTAATATTCCTAATAACCCTGCATTGAGATGTCTGTGTATGTGTATACTCTTGCCCTTCTCTTGTGTAGATGTACCTAGCTGGAAGACTCGTCTTCTGTGACTACATGTTCAATGGCTACGGTGTAACATGTCGAGACTTCGACAAGCAGCTCCGGAGCACTCTGGCGGCAGCTTCTGCGGGCCACCAGCTCCCCGCCAACTTTAAGTTTAGGTGCCGATACATAACATTCCATGCTGAAAGAAAACCAATACCCGACCAATTATAAAATTGTTTGTATAATTCGTGCTGGCATGTGCTGAAGTAAACCGTTGGCCAAACGTTTGCCCAACCGCTGCATGTTATCTGCCGATCGTTACTTGTTTAGCCTTAAGTAGTGTCAGATTGTAAAGAATTTAGGGCCGAATTTGTGGGTCTAGCTGGATGATCTGATGTTGCACTTCGTGCATATGAGAGTAATAACTTTCATAGAAGCTAACATCACAGGTTACAGTTTAATTCTTTCCTCCCCTCCCAGTGGAAACACTTTTGTAGTGTTGAATCTATATGGTTCAAGGCGTTGGTTAGAAGCAGAAATTTGATACGTCAATTAATTTAGTTCATGATGTGGTTATATAATCTCACAAGTTATTACTCCATTTGCTAAATTAAAATTAAAAGCCTCATAACTGCCGTACTTGTGACTTTCTGCATGTTTGCTGATTGAGCAGGAATGTGATGATAACTCGACTTTTATTTCAGTACTACATATTGTCAGGTCGTTCTGTTTTTTTGAACTACTCGCATTTGTAAATTGCCTCTTTCGGTGCAACCATGCAGTTTCAGTTTTGTTCAGTCATGCTGAGTCATGATTAGTTCCAACCTCCTATATTTATTGCAGAGTATCATAGACTCAAATCATTTGTTAGTCAGGGGTCGAATTAGCCGCTAGCCCGCTAGCCCGGGACTAGTAATTGTTTGGAAGGGCTAGTTAAAGGCAAGGGTGGCTTGCCCGTCGGGCAAGCAAGTAAACAATTCCAGACCAGATTTCGTAATTCGTGAAATGAACGTGTGTGCGTGAGCGCGTGTGTGTCATGTGTGTGCGTGAGCGCGTGTGTGTCATGTGTGTGCGTGAGCGCGTGTGTGCGACGTGTGTGCGTGAGCGCGTGTGTGCGCCGTGTGTGCGTGAGCGCGTGTGTGCGACGTGTGTGCGTGTGTGCGACGTGGGTGCGTGAGCGCGTATGTGTGAGACGTTGTGCGTTAGCGCGTGATGGTGCGTGAGCCGCGTGTGCGCGACAGTGTGTGCACGTGGGGCTACGACGCGCGCGTCGTGTGCGACATGTGTGCGTGAGCGCGTGTGTGCGACGTGTTCGTGAGCGGTGTGTGCGACGTGTGGTGGTGAGCGCAGTGTGCGTGAGCGGCGTTGTGCGACGTGTGTGCGTGAGCGCTCGGCCGTGCGTCGACGCGCGTATGCACGTGTGCGTTAGCGCGTGGTGCGACGTGTGTGCGCTGAGCGCGTGTGTGCGCGTGTGCGTTAGCGCTGTGGCCGTAGCCGCGTGTGGTGAAGGTGTGGCGGTGAGCGGCGTGTGGTGCGTGAGCGCGTGTGCGTGAGCGCGTGTGTGCGTGACGCGCGCGTGTGTGACGTGTGTGCGTGAGCGCGTGTGTGCGTGAGCGCGTGTGTGTGACGTGTGTGTG